CGGCCAGGGGCTGCCCACTCCCTGCTGCTGCCGCCGCGCAGCCCCTGGAGCCCAAGTCCTCGCACACTCCCAAGCCCTCGTAAGTCCAGAAAGTCACAGCTGCCCTGGCCGTGCTAGGGTCTCTTCGGAGGTGACCAGGAGCCCCCAACCCGCTGGCCTCCGCCGCGACCCCTCAAAGGCGTGAGGCCGGCAGGTGCCAGGGAAGCGAGCCCGCCCGCATCGTTTCCACGGCGGGTGCTGGTGCCCAGGCGGAGAAGCCCCCGGTGCAGGTGAGGCAACAGGTGTGTGGCCTGAGCGCCCGAGCGCAGTGGGAGCTCGGAGGGCTGCTTTATGATGTCACAGCTCTGGGGCGCTGCGCGCTCGCCCGTCCAGGCCAAGGGTGGGTCTGGCCCGGAGGTGCGACCGGAATGGCCAGCGGAGAGCTGTCCTTGGGGTAGGAGTGCGGCTCGTGAGTCGTTACCTGGGGGTGGCCAGCGATCTGAGTGAGTTGCCAAATGCAAACGCTCCCGGCGCTTTCGGGATTAGAGATTTAGAAGCGTGGAAGTAGTGGCGGTCACTCGCAGATCGAAAGTTTGCCCTCCCTCGCGTTGTTCTGGTTTTTAAGTCGACAGTGTTAATCTTGGGTAGAAAAGAATCTCCCATCCCACCCCACCACCACCAGTCCGTGACGGGAGCTATGTTGCCAGGGCGTACCGTTGGCTGGGTACCAGTTGCTTCGAGGTGATAGCTGGTGTGAGTTTGGAGGGAGAGGAGGTAGGTTAAGAGACTGAGAAAAGTGTAACCGTGTAGAAGTTACCGAGAAGAATAATCAGAACGAGAGACCCTAAAAAACGGCCGACCTCTGTAAAAAGTCTGGCCTGGGGCTCTGGTGAACAATAATTCTCTAGATTTAAACTTTTGCGTTCAGCTGGGTACCTTTATTTGTCAAAACTTTTTATTGCCCTTTTGCTATTTCTGTGGCATCTCCTCCCCCATCTAAATTTGGTTTCTTATTTATTGCCAACCATCCATCAGGATAATATTCTCATGAAAACTCAGGATGCCCTTCCAGATGATTAAAGTCCCTTTGTACATTGGGATTGCAAGATGGCTAGAGAACTGTAGCGGATAGCTTGGAGGTTATCTCGTGGCCTTCCCCATGGGCCTGCTGTGCCAGCACCGTGTCAGTTTTAAGAAAACTGGAAATGCACCCCACGGCATAGCGGACTGCGGAACATTTGAGAATGTTAAGACTCGAAACCTTTGCGATTGTGGTAAATGGAGGAAAGGCTAGCAAGGATACTCAAACCGGTGCATTTTAAAGAAAATATCCTCAAACAGGTTAAAAGTGTTAACAACAACCTTATTCTTCATATTCTGTTTTGTTAAGTAGTTAAAGAGGAAGCAAGTAGAGAAAATGGTAGTTTTAACTTGGTAACTAAAATTAAGATCCGGAATTTCTAAACCACCGTCTGATTTACTCTTTTCCTGAAAAATTTCCACATTTATTCCTTACCTGTTGCTTTTCTCCTACTAACAGGAGTATATGAACACTTACCGGAATGGCACACAGTTGATACTACCATTGACATTACCAGTGGCAAATAGTTATTAGATTCGTAGCAAATTAGCCTTTCATGTTTTTTGAGGACTTTCCGTGGTCATGTTTCAGCAGCCTACAAGTCTCATTTCATTTTGACCCTGCAGGAGCCCCATAAATGAATTGTCCTTTCAGTAATTTAGAATATCATAGATGAGGTACAGTGGCAACAAGAATTCAAAACCGAATAGCATGATTTTGATAAGAGAAGTAAAAGACGTAAAAGAGGAGACGGGCGGTGGTTGTGGGGTCCTGGATGCCGGGGTGACCGGCACTGGGGGCCTGGGAGCGCCGCAGAGAGCAAGCCGGAGCAGGGGCGGGGCGGGGCGGCTGTCCCCGTCCTGGGGTTCTCGCCGGCCCCTACAACTGAAGAGCGTAGGACGCGTGAAAGAGGCGCGTGAAAGAGGCGCGTCGGAACGCTTCTTCGGGCCTGTTGTCGGTCTGCGGCTGGATGAAGGCTGGACACGTCTGTGGGCCAGAGACCCACTCGCCGGCGGCTGGGCGCCGCCGCCAGCAGTAAGGTGCAGGGCTTCTGTTGCGCTGACACCTCAGTCCTGGCTCTTCAAGCATTTTGCTTTTGTCAAGGGCAAATTCCTTTTTATCTTTGGTAGTGCCCGTAGGCACCTCCCACGAGGATTTGCTGTTGTCTGCGCAGGCCAAGCACATCAGCTGTCCAGCCGAGTTCTGTCAGCCTGAGTTCAACCTGTGCCTTGCACTCACTGTCCGCAGGGCTTCGCGCCTGGTATTCCTGGGTCTCCGTCAGGCTGCTCCCGCTCTTAATGTATTTTTTCCTGTTTACTAAATTGGAGGCTGCTGATCATTTCTTCTCTACCTTAACTCCCATAATTTTGAAAATAATTGTATCAGGGTCACTGTATTAACTTCCTTTTCATGGGAGGGCAGTATAATCCTCAAACGGCTGTTTAATTGTCTGTAGCGCAGCTAAGTGATGGTTTCCTGCCTTCTCAGTGGTTATGTTCTCCCATGTACTTTGCGGCAACCTGCCCCTAATAAAACAGGCCCTGGAATTAATTCCAGAATTTGGGGTGAGGTTATCACGTGTCGTGACTTACGAGCCGGTGACTGGGGCTCCTTCCGGCTGCGAGCACAGGCTCCAGGGAGCCGTTTCAGCGCGAAGTCTTCAAGTGCCAGATCCAGAGTTTGTGCCTTTCAGGTGATCTTGGCTACTGTTTTTTAAATAAAGATGCATTTTTGTGATGTTTATAGACGTATGCTTTAAACAATTTTCCTATATTTAAATAGTCTGTTTACATCTTCCGTGTCTTAAAAGGACAGAAAAAAGGCCCTGGTTAGGACTTCGTGTAAGGAAGTTTTTGTCTGGATTCAGTTCCTTGGCCCTTCCTGCGAGTCAGACGCCAGCAGAGGACGCGCTCCCGGCAACGGCAACGGGACCAGCTTCCCGCACATCGGGGGTCTGGTTCAGACTTTCTGATTGAACCCCAGGAAGTTTAAGTATACGCCTCACCCAAACGACTCCATAAGATATCAAAGTAAAGTTATTCCGGGGCAAACTTTCCCTCTTCCTGCCTCAGATTTCCTCAGGCCGCTCCCCCGTAGTCAGCTGGACCGGGCCCTGTCCCTCAGACCTGTTGGATGGCCACTTTACCTGGGTAACTAGCACTTTCTTCCAGCTTCCCAAGCTGGGCTTCGGGGGAGGGAAAGTCAGCACTGTGTTACAGATCTCTCACGTCAGGACACCAGGTCCTCTCACTTTGTCTTACTTGGGCTGATTCTGTCTGAAAGTAGCAGACACTGACACCC